ATAAGTTAATTCACAAGGATTTGATCGAAGAAAACCTTTTGGTGTACAAATACTTCCACATTCTTCTGTTGAATTTGCCCATCGACATCGTACATAATCACCATCACTATCAACCATTGGTGTACGAATAGTGTGTATCTTACCAACTTCAAATTGAACACGTAAGTAAAGTTAGCACCAGATTCGAGTATTTCTTGTCCCAATTCGCTATCTTACCTGTGTTAACTCTCTAAGCACTTGTGCTAGGTGCAGAATGTTGTGCTCTATCCAATGATACATGTTTCAAGAGGGGCCATTGGGCAAAAACCACCACTTTTCCCCGAAATTCTGTCTTATTCCCCGTGTAACGACAACAGTTATCCTGTATTACTTGTTCGGATTCGCTCTACGACTTGTGTTAAGTTTCTAGTTGAGTGTGTTAGAGATTGTGGGTGTAGGTGTGGGTGGGTGTGGGCGTGGGTGTGGATGTGCGTGTGGGTGGAGTGTGGGTGTGGCTATCGAGAAGACTACACCCACACCAACACCCACATCCACTCACACCCCACACCCTTATACCATTTATTAGAGAGAAATGGCACTATGCTCAAGTTCCAGATGCTGTCATAGGTCTAGCTACTCGAATACTCAAGCAAATGAGCTCATCTCTTGGGCACATAACTAGCATGTAAAGGAGCACAGCTCCGTTAAAAAAGTTAGAAAATTCATCAGGTATCATGGAAAATAAGACATGAACTTCTATAGTCCATTTTCCCCTCATTTTGATGACCTTTTATCGTTGTGTTTAACGGTGTCAAGAAACCTTGTCTAAGATAATGTCTTGGTTATACAGAAGAACTAAACGATATTTATCTCTCAAGTTCAAATCTGTTAAGGGTCTTCTGACAGTTTTCATGATGATGATGAATCAGAGTAAGTGTGGCAATAGGAGCGAGAGTGAGAAAGAGTGTGTAATTGTGAAAGGAATGCGAATCCTTATTTGCACTCCCTATATTCCTCAGTTTTATCAGAATTAGGTGGAAAATGGACTTTAGAAGTTCATGTCTTATTTTCCATGATACCTGATGAATTTTGTAACTTTTTTTAACAGAGCTGTGCCTCTTTATATGCTAGTCATGTGCCCAAAATATGAGCTCATTTGCTTGAGTATTCGAGTAGCTAGACCTATGACAACATCTGAAACTTGAACATAGTACCATTTCCCTCTAATAAACGATATAAGCCTGAAAATTATAGAAAACAATAAGGACCTATGGAGCAACTTTTCCTGAAAGTTTATAGCCTATCCGTCAAATCTACACTAAACTACAAGTCACACAGTGAGACTGGACGGTGTCTGAGCACACCCAACCTTACAGTAAAATCAACCTAACTTCACAGTAACTTAATGAACTTCGATGAAATTTTTATCACAGATAGTCACTATATAGGGATACAAAATTACGTGTTACACAGCTCATAAAATTTTGTTGCTCTTGAGTTATGAAATCCACAATGGAACTAAATTCCAGGCATCCAAACGTTCTTTTGACTCATGCTATAGGGGTGCGGGTTTCGCCACTGACCTACATTGATCGAGAACTATATATATCCAAGTTTTCAGAGTCACAGCTCTTATAGTGGCTGAGATCCGAAGGTGGGGGATACCTTTGTAAAATAGTGTATTATAGGGTTCGTAAACGATATCCAGTAGATGAATCGTGAAAAAAAAGTGAAATTTTCTTTGATAATGATAAAAGAAAAAGATAATTCTGTATATCATTTTCTCTCAAAGAGTAGTTGCCAGTCTTTGTTTTAGTTTATTTTTGTGATTCGTAAAAGTAAAATGTGTTCTTGTCATTATTAACAATAGTCATTTATTTGACGCTGGTTCCCATTTAATTGTATACACATGTCATTCACTTTCACGATATACATTTATTGAATGGCAGTTGAAAAATAATACACCGCCTAGGTAACACATTTATCATGCATACAGTGACTGCCGAAATGATTCAAATTATTAGATAATCTTTTTCTGTTCTCGTTATTTCTCAACAGCTAGACATGTTTGAATAGTTTGGTCTATGTCATATTATACACTATAGCCTCTAAGTAGTATATATGTAAAATATTTCACAGCAATCTATCGATCTGTTTAGATTCTATTAAAAGAACAAGCTCAAAATGTCTTGCTTGTTATTGAGCAAAACTATTCAAACTCTTATGTTTCTAAACTGCCGTGAAGTTGTTTTACAAAAAACGTTTTCTTCATTGTACATTATTCACTCAAGTATGCATTTATAGAAGTTTTTTTTTTTGAAACATTATAACAACGATTTCTAATCAACACATTAATAAAAGATGATTTTTTTTCTAGAATATTTAGTTTGATCTACTGTTTCACGTAGTAATAGAACGAGCAGAGAAAACTACATCAAAAATTGTAATTTATGAAATATTCCATGTTAAAAGATTGATTTCATCAGTTCCATTGTATATGCCAACCATATACAAATCATACATAGAATTCATTATCTGGTCATTTTTTGCTCGTGAAAAAAAAGAAACTGTAAAGAAATTCTGTTAATGGTATAGATTTGTAGAAAATCTCTTTCTGTAGAAAGCTTCTATATTTCAAATAAAGATGACCTGTATTTGATATAATTTCATAATTTTGCCTCATCGATAACACCAGAACTATGAAAACGTACAATGATCCCAAGAAGAAACAAGTATCATATTTCACGAAGTAAAAACATCTAGAAGAAAGATAATTAGATTTATGATAGAAATTTATAGTCTAACGACTGTGCCAAGTTAGTACAGCATTATCTGCCACTTGTAAAATCTATCATATAAATTTAAACTCTGCGTAAAGCTTTAGAATGTTCTAGAACAGACTAAGTCTTGTTATTAATGTCGTTAAGCACCTCTCCTCGTTGCTAACTGTGAAAGGAGTCTGAACCATGTTGTCCTCGGTACCTATGAAAATGTGCCGAATGATCCTTGGTCTTTCCACGCTCTTATTGCTAGGAAAAACATAGTCATAGGTCTTTGACTTTTTACGCTGGTTGCTAGGGTCTGAATATAGACGAGCAGCAAGAATCTCAATTTACACTTACATTTACTTTTTTCTTCAAAAATATATGTGAGTTCCACAAAAGTCTTCTAGGTCATGGATAAGCCTTTTCAAAGGTTTCAAGCTTATACACGAAATCTATAAGAGTGACGAATTCGTTACAATTGTCAAACACCTTTTTTCTGTGCATCAGTGATACATCATAATATAGAGTTTAATATACCGAATTGGTCGGTGCATAACTGGTGATTGAGTTATGCGCTCAAATACATGGTCGCAGACTTTATAGAACATCTAGACTTCTCCCTACGGAAAATGCTTGATATTTTTCTTTGCTTGGCTATAGGGATTATGCTTTGGTTTTCGTCATATACTACTCAATTTCTCAAATTCAGGCTGTCGAACCATATACGAGTCATTCATTCCCTTTTAGCTGCATCTTTCCCGGTGAAGTGTCAACGAAAAATCTTGAATTAATTTATTAACTTTCTTGACTTGTGTTTTTTCTATATTTTCAGATTATTAGACTTCTATTCAGCACCTGTTCATGAACATGATATGACATTGAGAGTGATGCTCTATTAAACAAATTTTTGGTTATTTAATATACCCATATAATTTGGCAAAGCATGCCAAAATAGCTATTGATTACTATTGAAATGATTGATAATCCATGAAAAAGCCACTGCTATTATATATCTTATTGCTAACTCTTATATGTTCTGGATTATTATATATTATATTCAAATCGCATACTGTTATCACAAAATCTTTTACTGAGCATTCCATGAAATTGCTTAATCCACACAGAAAACTATGTTATCGATTTGATGGAAGTACATTTATACGTGATCAGTTAGAAAAACTACAAGTGAACAAAATAGATAATAAAAGTGCATATATAAACGAAAATGATGCTTCTAAATTGTCCTATATATCAACAAACTATTCAAATTTAACCGAATGCATTGAAAACACTCGAGTAGCTTTTATGTCGCGTCAATTGATTCCAGGAAGTCACTCTCTTCATACAATCTTTCGTAATCCTCCATATAAAGACATAGTAAAACCTTACTGCGATGGTTTATGGATGGAATTTGGTGTGTTTCGTGGTGGTAGTATATCTCATATTGCGAAATGGAAAACTGCATTTTGTGGTAACAAAAGTGAGCCTGTCTATGGATTTGATACGTTTAGTGGTTTACCGACGAATTGGAGACCTGGATTTGGTCGTGGAACCTTTCATGTTCCTAATGAAACAGATATTTTAGTTCCATCTAATGTTGTGTTAGTAAAGGGTCTTTTTATCGATACATTACCTATTCAACTTCGTATTATTGATCGTAAACATCAATGTAGAACTCCAGTATCATTTGTTCATATTGATTGCGATATATATGATGGTGCAAGAGATATTCTATTCCTTCTTGGAAGTCGTTTTGTACCAGGTACCATATTGGTATTCGATGAATTATTCAATTATCCAAGTTATGAAAAACATGAAATCAAGGCTTTATTTGAATTTTTATCAGGTTCAAACTTAAGACTCATACCAATAGGTACAAGCGGTAACATTGAACTGAAACCAGCTCAAGATATAGCTGTGCAATCATTTGCTTTTGTTACAGACTTTGAAGAAGGATAGTGATAAAGATGTAAAAGTATATCGTACTAAATTGATATTAATAAATACTACACTTTTATGAAAGTGTTATATTCTATTTATTAGCTGAAAATCTTACGATTTCTCAGCGCTATGCATGTCATACTGATTTGCTTGAAACTATTTAAAATTAACAGATATTAGACATTTCACTAGTCAAGTTATTCATCATATAAAATAAATGCTTTGAATAAATGAATAAAAAGAAAAAGAAACTAGTAGTATATTTGTCTTTTGCTTGTCTAAATGGAAAATATTGTTGCGAATATGTTGTACCACTCTTTTTTGACTCGTCGAAAAGAAAAGTTACTTTGCACATGATTCGTCTAAAGTACCATGTAATCCGCAATATACGGTTTTGAGTTCTTAATAATAGAAAAGCGATATGAGAGAGACAACAACAAGGTGACTACGCTTCAATCGTTTTTGTTAGGTAATAAAAAAAACCTTTCTTTTACGTGATCCTTCAGTAGTGTAGTCACTTTTTAGTTGTATTATTGTGAAGCTTGTTTTCCTCTTTTAATAACATCAAACATTAGTATATAATAGTCTAGATTTATTTCGTCTCAGTTTTAATCATATAATCGTCAACAGTTTGGTACTTCTACGCGATATGCAACAGCTTTTTGCACAAGCACATTGCAAGTTACTCATTCAGCAATGTTTTTTATCCTAGCTCAAAACAAATCAGGAAGAGTAAGTGAGTAGCTGAATGCTTATTAAAGACGTGAGAACCATTATTAAATGCTGACTGAAATCCCTAAATACTTGGTTAAAATGATTGATAGTAACATGAAATATTTTTCAAATATCATTACCATTACAACTCAGAAAATAAGAGATGTATAAGTTGCTCTCACTTCTAACTTCAATGATGATGTTGACGCTCCAAAATCATGCTTAGATTCAGTAGCTCGACAGTTAGCACAATAGACAATACTTACATGGATATGTATTGCTATTAAGCAGCTATGAATATCTAGCTAGTAGTACTGGATTATTTAAACCACGCTTACGATCTAATAGCTTGACAGTTATATTTATATAAAATAATGGAGTAGTTATGTATGGATATTAAATAGCTTTGAATATATATTAAGTAGTGCTGCATATATTTGAATTGTGCTTGCGATTGAGTAGGTGAACAGTTAGAGATATATAAAATAATTGAGTAGCTATGTACTGATATTAAATAGCTGTTAATATCTATTAAATAGTGCTTGAAGTGTGTAAGTAGTCGTTAAAATCAAGCTATAGAATTAAGGAAAAAGACAGTCATAAATAATTCAATATGTATTATAATGAACTATATCTATAGAATGCACTTTTAAGTATGTCTGTTAACTCTTTCTATCAATGCTCTCTATAAAAAATTGTATCTCTTCTAGGAATGAGCCGTTTCCTATGTATTAATTAAGTCTTTTCAAAGACTTCCTTCTTATATCCGGAATCTAGAAGAGTTTCGAATTCGTTACAATTCTCAAAACTCTTTTTGTTCAGTGCAAGATTCATGCATCGGAAGGTAGAGCTTGATTGCCGGATTGATCGATGTGTAACTCTTGAATGCGTTATGCGCCCAAATATTTGATCATAGGTTTCATAGAAGATCTAGACTTTCCTTAAAGAAATAATTTTGATATTTCTCTTTTTCTTTTCTTAGACAATGATTTAATTTTCGTCACATGTGATAACATTGTCAAATTTAGATTGTCGAATTGCATAGGAGTCATTCATTTAATTTTTACACTTTATCTTTCAGACAAAGTGCCCACAAAAAATCTTGAAGTGATTTATTGACTTTCTTTACTTATGCTTTTTTCGATATTTTCAGATTATTAGACTTCTATTCAGCACCTGCTCATGAACACGATATGACACTGAGAGTGATGCTCTATTAAACAAATTTTTGGTTATTTAATATACCCATATAATTTGGCAAAGCATGCCAAAATAGCTTATAATTACT